TCTACTATATCTCCCTAATGAGGGATCAAATATACTCCTTGATATGAATCAAATATATATACTCTTTTGTTAACTTTTCCCAACTATTTCTTCATGTTTCCAAGTTGAAGTCCATAATTCCTTGATGGTAAGGGAATTTAAATATCTGAGCAGAATCTTTGTATCTTACACATATGCTGCATGGGAGAATTTCCTTTAGCTCTGTAAGTCTTCATTGCAAAAGAAGAGTGGAAGCTGCATTTACCTTTAATTACCTCCATGTACTTGTAATACCTTCATCCAACAGTAGTTTTATGTTCCCGTGATAAACTTACGGAACATAGGCCATACCTGTAGATCTTGTACCACATTTACTGAAATGATACTCTTCTATATTTGATAAGTAACAATACTAATTTATATAGGTTAGAGCAAGATAGTTGTTAATTTGGTGTACTTGTGCATAAAATACAGAATGGGAGCTATTTTTCTGATGTTCACAGTAAGTACCATTATTGTTGTGTGTCTGAATGATGATACATATTATTGTGTAAAAGTTTGCATTTTCAAAAATTCTCTGTAAAATTGTCCATGTGCTTTGTATAAGCTCACCTTTCACAACTGACCATGTGTATGAATGTAGGCAGAGCACTAATGAATATAGTAGCCTGGCTGTGTGCTCAAATAACTTTAGGCAGTGTGTTTCTGTCAGGTTAACAGTTAACGTGGAAATTTTGGAAGATTTTGGCCCAACACAAGTTCCACAAGTTCTCCTGTAATATAAAGAACAACACAAGTTCCTGTAATATGTATTTATTCCATGGAACAGAGGAACAATAAGGAAGCTAGATATATCTGGTTGGTGTTTGCCACCAACATCAGTGGAAAGAGGGTGAAGCTTAGAATTTCCCGCTATTAAAACTGACCTGGCAAGATGAGATTCATTACTTCTGTTGAACTGAAAAGCCAGGGTGTCTCTAGGAAGAGCTTCCAGAAATGCTGAGGACCTAGGAGAGAAGGTGAGGAGTGGGAAGGATGAGGACTAGGCTGTGTGAGCCTCTCAGCCCTCAACAGGGTTTAGACCCTAAAGTATGCAGGCTTGAACACCATGCTTTATCTGTCTTCTCTGGAGGAACTGATTCCATCCAGTGTCATCCTCCTCCTTGCTGCTTCATTTCAGAGAATAAATAAATTCCAAAGAGTTACAAGTCAGTTATCAGAGAAGGTTTAGTGAAACCAATGGGCAGACAGACACTCATGTCATCAGGTAGCCTTCTAAGGCTTTTAAAGACTGTTATCATCGTTTACCAAAAATATTTTCCTTTCACCTTAGCAGAACTACCGTATAAAGACCAGAAGTATTAGTTCATGGATAACTAAATAGTGATGATATACTACAATGATAATGAAATAATATGATGAAGATATATGAACAGAGAGGAAATGCGATGGAAAAATTATGCATACCTTGCATGCATAGTTGTTACACTGTCGATGGGGAGTGTGCTTGTGTGATGATTAGCTGAATTAACTTTTGATTTCCTTGCTTTTGTGTCTGTATGTGTTTAACAACAGCCACTTCACAATTATTTCTTTCCATATGGCAAAAAGTGTAGCAAACCAAAAAATTAATCTACTGACCATCTTTTTCTTTAGTCTGTTATTTTCATGTTTCTTTTGAAATACTACTCTTTATATGTAATTATCTTCAGCTCATTAAAAAGAAAGAAAAAATACTAATTTTCTTACCAAGTAAAGAGTATTTTCAATTAATATTTGATGTCAGTTCAAAAGGTCAGTATTCTTTGTCCACAGTGAGAGCAGACTGTAATAAGGAGGTCTCTGCTTTTGGCAATAATGTAAATAGCATAACAGACTTCAGTTTCTTTGTGCCTTACTTTGGCAAGATGAAATGGAAGAAACTGATTGATAATCATGTTTTAATTAATTGTTGAATAAAAATTGATTTTTTGCACAAAAAGTAGGTTCAATTACTTTAGTAAAATTCATGAAGTGATAGGAAGATTTTCCTAACTTACTGATGTACGTAGGAAAACAAATTTCTAACTTACTAATGCATGCCAGTTTAAGAAGTTTGATTATTGACCACATCAAAGTATTAGAAAAAACATGTTTTTGGGAACATTCAATATTAACAGTATTCTAAAGAGCTGCTAATCTTCTGTCAACAAATATCCTTTTCTGGTGGTTGAATGGTATTTGTTTTGTGCCAGGTTCTCCTTAGTGTTGCTTTCGCAGGTGTTTTAATACACAGATAAATCAATATATTTGATAATGCTTCACGAATGGTATATGTTTATGATATCAATGAAGAACTCTTTAGGATTTTTCTCAATCTGCACTCTACTTTTCTTTGAAGTCGGGTGCTTTTTATAGAGCTAATATGCGACTGGACATTTGCCCTGCTGTATTCTGATTGCAAGAGAAGAGCTTTAGATGAATCTGGAACTTTTAGAGTGTAAGAACTTGCATTCACAGACTGTCCAATTTGAATTTGATTCTCAGTTATTAATGCATAAATAGGCCCTGTGTATACTGGGCCTGCATCCCATTTGTAGAAAATAATGTTACAATACTGTAAAATGTGAGACCACCTAGGAGGGGATTTCTGCATCTGTCCAAGGGGAAAGAGGTGCTTGTAGCCAAGTCCTGCTCTCGTTTGCTGCATTCTTTAGTTTGTTAACCAAGCTGTGATTTTGAGCATGTCTTTGTGTACCGCTTGGAAGCTGGCAGTGATTAGTTTGTCCATCCTGTCTTGTGTCTCTGAGTCATCGGTGACACTGTCTTTTGTCCTTTGTCTCTCAACCTCCCAACCTGTGTGTCCTGAGGAGTTTCACATAGGTGCATTTATATACTCACTAATAAAGTTTCAGAGGACTTTTTTTTTTTAAATCAGTATAGTTTCAGTCAAAAAATATTTCCTAAGACCAGACTCAGGAAGTATAATAATGTTTTAAATAATGCATGAATTAAAGTAGAAAAATAGGGGAGAAAGAATGCAGATTTTTGGGCAGGGTTTTGGTATGGTTTTTTTTAGTTTTTCTTTGAGTTTTTTTTAATGTTTTTTAAAAATATTATTCGTGATGCCCAGTGCATCATGAATAATATATGAACTCATAGATCCCTTGCATTTTGAAAAAACAACCAACAGACAAGTCCTAACAACTGTAAGCCAAAGCAAGCAAGCTAGCAAAACCAAGTAAATTTTATTCTGGTTGTTTGTGTATTTTTTTAATATTTAAAATGCTACTTTCTATACAACTTTTTTTTCTTCATTCTCCTATTAGTTGGTATAAATAAAGTGATGAAAATATAATCCATAATAATGAGTAAAAATTATGCAAAAGTATGAAAGGTTATAGAGTATCAATAGATAAGGACTTCTTTCCTTCCAATAGATAAAGACAGGTTTTTTTGCATATAAATCATATCTGTCTATTACAGAGAAGCTATCAGTTCGAGGACTCAGTTTTTACTATTTCATGATGTTAAAATAATTTTCTTGAATTGAAAAGATTAGAGTGACTTTTCTTAGCTGGAAGTTGCCTTCTGTAGAAAAGAACATCTGTAAGTGTCTGAGCAGATTTTTTAAAAAAAGTTACCTAATTTTTTTCTTCTTTGCACCCAAGAAAATAATTCAATTGTGTTCTTCCAAGAAATTAAATTGCAGGGAGAGGTGAGATACCTAGCATTATGTAGAATTACACTCACTGCAGAGCACAGTGTATCACCCAAATAATTCTGTATGCACCCAGTATTACTTGCAGAAAAACAAGTGCTTAAGTTTATGAGCTAATGAATCATTCAAACACACACAATGAAAAAGAGACCAGTCTACATCAGTATTCCGTAGTGTGTGTGTGTATATGCATATATTCCATTTTCTAGGTAGTAAAATACAGATTCTGTAGTATATAATTCTTAAAAAACATATGTTAAGCATACCATGTCATTTTATTCATGTAGATAATGAAAAATGTCAATATGAAGAATTTCTTTTCCCTATTAGCTTCAGCTTATTTTCTTTAAACTACAGCACTTGATTCTAAGGTACGAAGTGAAGCAAAAATGTGGCTTGCCAATGACTGTTTAACACTGTATTAGAAACTAAAGAAAACAAATTGTAATTCAGGGCTCATAATTTTGTGTCCTGGAAATTTTAATACTAATGATTGGAAACTGTGATGCAGAAGAATAAATTGCTTCTACAAAGGATACAGTTAGTTTCAAATGTAGTTGGTTAGAAAAATACCTGTGGGTATTTAATATGCCCCTGTTATTCAATTTCCACTATTTGGTTTTGTTGTTGGTTTTGGTAGATTAGCAGCCATGTTTTTCAACTATGAAACAAAATATCTCCTTTAGTGGTTTTTGAAGAGTCCATAATAGGTGGTGAAACTGTTTACACCGGACATATAATGAAGCTGACTGTAAAATACAGAAAGATAACAAAAGGGAAAAAAAGGAAGAAACATAATTTAATTAACTTATTTTGAAGGCATATTTAATTTATTAAAAAAATATAATCAGTTAAAGTGGGAGCTAAAATATCAAGTCAAGCAAAAAGAATAAATTTACTGCCCCTTTAAAGGGGTTCTCACTAATCTTATGTTTGTTTGATTCCAGACTAACTGACCTAAAGTCAATGAAAACTTGTGAAAAAGTAGTGCAAAATCAGATTATAAACTCAGTGTAATTACCAGAGTAATAGGGGGAGAACAGATCTAATTGAAATGACAGAAGAGTCATTAGTCTTTAAGACTGCCCTACATAAAGTTCATGACTACTATAAAAATGAATGTGTAAAATTATTTTTATAAATAAATTATATTGATATCAAGATGACATTTGCTATTTTATATTCTTTTTAAGGTAATGAATCTCTTAAAGTTTAATCACACTTGTTGCAGAGATCTTTGGATTATTTGTACATCAAATTTCTGACATGTCTGTACTTGCCAAGCCAAAAAATTAACTTCACAATTTTGCTTTATTTGCAGCATCTGGCGAGGACCAAACATAAACTGCACAGACAGTTCAGGTTATACTGCTTTACATCATGCAGCTTTAAACGGACACAAGTAAGTGCCTCACATTTGTTTTTTATGTAGAATGGTATTTAACTGTGTAACATAGAAATATGTAACATGACACTGAGGTTTTCACTGAAAGTTGACAAACTTTGACTTACTGAAATAGTCATTTTTCCCATGGGATATATTAATATAGAATGCTTTGACACTGTCATCAATATCAGCACGTGGTAATGACAAATGGGAAATGCAGTTTATAAGCTGTTGATTATGTACTCTTTCTTCCAAATTCTTCCTCGATTTTGAGTATTTATTATTGTTACTAGTTGTGGCTCTAGTGCTTTTTGGTTGCTGGGAAATTGCAGCAGAAAATTTTGTAGTATACTTTTGTGTGTATGTATACAGGTATAGTGTGTTGAACGTTTAAGGAAGCAATTTTGTTAAACAAAACAGTAAAGATTAATCATCATCAAAGCAAATTAGCATGAAAAGAATATTTAGTAATTATACACTTGGAAGCAGAGAAAAAAAAGGCTATTACCCCATATGGGACCTTACAGCTTTTCTCGAGGTGCTGCTGTCCATCCAAGCTGCCACATGCATGTCTCAACAATTTTAGGGGAAAGCATGGAAAATCCCCACTGAGGGGCACTGCACAGGCCCACCAGTGCAGGTGAACTACTTAAGGCATTGAAAAAAATCTGGAAACTTGCTAGGCGTTTCGTTTTAGACCCTGTTATTTGTTCTATGTTATCTCTGCTGTTACATTTTCCCCCTGCTACATATTACCTCCATTGTATTTTTCTGCCAACTGCATGTTGTTATTAAGGCAGAACAAGAAAGAAAGGTTTTAATAAAGTCTAGAAATTTCTAGTGGCGTGGACCCTGCTGTAACCAAGGTAAGAGCTGCCCCACTTAATGCAGTCCAACTATCCTGTTTGCAGAGTGATGGTATTAACACTGACTGGATTTTCACTAAAGAAAATTCTAACATAAAGCTTTGGTTAATTCCTCTGTGGGAGATAAGGAACTGCCCAAAAACCAACTGAAATTAAGAGTGATTTGAACTAACTTTAATGTGATTTTGGACTGTCCATAAGATATACATAATAATTATGTGTTTAATTTACTCATTGCACCATTTTTGCATTCTTTCATGGAAAAATTAAGACATTAGGATGTGTCTTTAATTATATTCTAGAAACCTGCATATTTTCTTTAGAAAAGATTAATCTTTTGGTGAATATAGGATATTCTGCTTCTAAATAAATTTGTGAAGTTAAAATACTGTTAAATTAGATACCATGCATTTTCCAAAGTTTGAGCTCTGTAGGAAGATCAGAATCATCCATTAATATATTTCTACTTCCATGGAATTAGGTCTAACTCCTTAATATGATCTGTTAAACTCAGCCTTTTTGTTCATAATTTATGGATTGTTTCTTGTGCTGTTGCTCATTTTTGGCTGACAAAAACTGAAGTGCTAGCTCGCAAAGATTGCTTGTTTTAAATAGACAAAAACCGAGTTTAGTATGTTTAATATTGGCAACAAACCAATAGTTACGCAGCAAACTAAAAATATTACTTTATAAACACTGAAACTATCAGAGATTTCAAGTGAATTCTACCAATATAAACTATAAAATCTCAAACCATACAATATACAAAAAAAACTATAAAATACCAAAACATTTCAGACACAGCGTGTGCCAAACTTCTCCTGAGGTTTGGGAGGACTTAAAAATATGGACTTATGTTTAGCTGCATATATAACTGCAGCTTTTGAAAAGTCCAATGCTGGCTGCTATGACCCCTTACACTCACAGCAGGGTAAGTAGCAGTTACTGATATCCCATTTATACCTTGTTATATTAAAGTACACTGAAATACGTCATGAGGTATTTCGTGATGAATCATGAAGTTTCAGGACCTGTTATCCAAGCCATCATACTGCTCCTGCTGCAAGAGAATTGGACAGACACCTGGTGGTTCTAATTTTGTTAGTCACTACAAATGACAAATAAATAACTTTACACTCTGTTTCAGATTTCAGGCTTGATATTCAAAATCAAAACTATGTACAATCTTTTGATACAAGAATCTTCCCCCTTAGGGGACATTCTTGTCCTTTTAAAATCTTTGGGGTTTTAACTTTTCCCACTTTACATTAGGTTGAACCTGAGATATTTCAGTTTTTTAGGAAAAGTGAGAACACGAGACCTAATGACCAAACCAATAATTTTTGGCTGGGATAATTATTGGACACCAGTATTCAAATCCCTGCTTGATCACTGTATGTGATGAATTCCTTCTTCTTTCATTATTCTGACATAGTTCTCTTTCCTTCAGAAACTATTCTGCTTTATATAAGTAATTAAATTATATCTGGGGCAATCACTGGAATCTCAGTCTCCCTAAATAATTTTACTTAGCCCAATAATGTTACTGGGCTAAGGATTCTCAGTCTTCTCTCTGAAATTTATTTCTACAAAATGAAAAAGTTCTGACAAAGTGCTAAAAAAGAACCACCCTAGATAAGTGTGATGGGTCAGGGCATTCTTGAAGGATGAAGGAGATGTATGTTCTATTTTGTAGCTTGAATCTTGCAATAGACTCATCCCAATAGTTCCTGTGTATTGTTATCTATAGATTTCAGCTGTGGAGGGTTTTTTGCTAATTTTCTCCCACTTAGTTCAATTTATGCTTCTTTTGGTTTGTGTCCCTTTCAAACAACTGTGTATCTAGCTTTCATTAGACCATCTATTACATCATCAACTATTATGATATGAGAAGTCTCTCAAACTTTATGTGTGCTAAAGTGTTTCCCTCAGGATTCAATTTCCTGGAAGTTTCTGTGTAGCAAAAGTCCTTCTATAGTGGAGCTACTCTTTCTTGGTTGTTTTCATGTTATTTGACCTTGTCAGGAATAACCAAAATCCAGCTTAAATTCTCCTCAAAGCTTAGATGTGATGACTCCATATCTTTTGAAGTTACCTGAGAGTTTCTTTTGACCTGGTTATAGTCCCTCATAACTCACCATATTTTTTTCTCAATAGGAAATTAAATAAGGTTCCATCAAGGCTGGGGGAATAATTGCCTCAGATATGTCTTCTGTCCTGATTTGTAGTCACAGGTTTAATTTTTAGACATAACATAGGCTACACCGAGCTTCCTCCCCCCACTGATTTTTTGAGCCAAATCAGTAAGTCAGTGTTTCCATATTCAGTAAAAAATGTGTGTAGAACTACCCACACTGGATCATAGATTCTGTTAGCTTAAGAACTAATGAGGCCTGACTATGTCAAACTCTGAACTTAAGTACAGGAGACTGCTTAAAAATCAGGGATGGAACATACCAACTTATACCAGTCTTTCATTTAATGTATGATAAGTCACACCAAAAATACTGAAAGTAATATAAAAAGAATTAAAATGATAATAAGTCACTTCTTCCCTCACTATTATAAGGAAGCTGCATGTGGGAAATGAAAATAGAAGCAGTTATTTCATAGAAGATTGTATATATCTAGCTAGATCATTACATTGTTTTTTAACTATCTTTGAGATAATGTTTTAAAGAAGAGGAAAAATTGTTGCTTAAGCCTTACTGTGAGAATCATGTCCATAAAACTACCCTCTTGTCTTCCTGCCTCCAGAACTCAGCAATGCTGGGGACAAGAGTACTTCTCTGCCTTTAATGTCTGAGGGACATGCACATTGCCTGGACTGGCAAATTCTAAAAGTGATTCTTTGGCAAGGTGATCCTACTGAAAGAAACAGATTCAAAGAACTGGTGATAATATTGGTGGTATTCATAAGAAGTAAGAATCACTAAAATTAATAACATTTTGACTGTTTTACTGTCTATTTAATTTTTAGAAATTATTGGTCTTCACTTATTCTATGTTTCGCTTGACACACAGGGGTTTTTTTCTATTATCCAGGATAAAAAATTTGGTAATATGTATGTTCATGTAAAAACTTAATAAAATAAGCTTTCTGTCAATTTTTAGATTTACCTCCTGTTTTCCAGGGATATAGTTCTCAAATTACTTCAGTATGAAGCATCAACTAATGTGGCAGATAATAAGGGTTATTTTCCTATTCACTTGGCTGCTTGGAGAGGAGATGTAGATATTGTGAAGATTCTCATCCATCATGGACCATCACACTCCCGAGTGAATGAACAGGTGAAGTGTGATAAAAAATATTTGCGTACATCAACGGAAAAGAGCAGCAAATATTCTTTAGGTCTGACAAATTTATAGCCAAGTTAAAAAAAAGCCTATTTTCCATTGTTTCAGTAATTTCTTCTCCAAGACTGATAAAATCTTCCATTATAAGCATATCAAATACCTTTATTATGGATGGGCACTGACCTAAAGAATATTAGATTTAAAAAGTATGGAAAAACCTTTTACTTGTTTTTGAAAAATTGTGTGAAGACATACTCTATGCGTCTTTTAATTATGGATGTAAATTTGCACAAACTCTGCATCTTTTTTACTGTATTAAATATTAAAGTCCTGAAAACCTTTGAGATAAAATTAGCATCCTTGGTATATTTTAAGTGTACTGTAAATTAACAGATATGAAGAGATAAATGACAAACCAGATGGACTGCATCTATGCATGTGCAACAGAAAGGACACATATATACCAAGAAAAAATAATGAGAGTATTACAGTGAGTAAGGGCAGTATAAGTATGTTGCATTCTGTTGTCAGACATATGGCATACCTTCTCTTTTTATTCTGTGTATTTTTATCTGGTCCATTCATTGGGCCAACATTTAAAAAGAGAAAGAAGGTGATTAAAATTTGACACCATCTATAGTAGGCTGAACTGCTTAAGGACTGGAAGTAGGCTGTGAAGTACAAGTAGTAACCATTAAGCTATTGAATTTGCCAGGGTAATCAGGGAGTTATTGGAATGTAAAGGTGGGAGTCAGCTCAAGATTCAGATCTAAGCTGTAATTGCCTACATTGCACCATTTGGTTCCACAGAGGTCTGGTCAGTGTAATCACAGGAGCCAACAGGGTTATTCAGGTGACCAAAAGTAAAGCAGGATTCAATTGCCCAAACACAGGTCCTGGTGGAGTGGGTGCTGAACTTCAGGTGGGGTAACACCTGGTAACCTACAGCACCTCAAATGGTAAAGTGCAATCTGAGAAATGAGTTGTACTCTCAGTGCCTATATTAGTGTGGCCAGAAGGCAAATGGTTAGAAAATAAGAAATGTGAGACTTACATTGCAAACACTTAACTAGTGTGAGATGCCATACCTTGAATAATCTATTTGATATCTGAGGTTATACAGTTAGCCATTTGAATACATACAATAACTATGATATGAATATCAAGTATTAGTGCAGGAAATATAGGAAAATAATGTAATAGAATATGCCCATGTGACAGTCTTCTGGGAAATCCTATAATATTCTGACTTATCCAAGAAAAAACGTAAACCCCAACATTTGTCATTCTGTGCTTTGAGTTGCAGATTAGAAGTTTCTTCAACTTTCTCATTCTCATTAGCTATTTTATGTAGGATGAAACTAGTTGAATTGTAGGATTACCTTTTGTCAAGGAGAGAATTTTTTTCAGTTTTATTTATGCAACAAAACAAAAAGCAACTTTCTGATTTCATGTTACCCATTTCTTGAAGAGATTGTATACTGACAGAAAACTGGAAGCTATGTGGGAACTTCAGAGAGGGGGATAGTGAAAAAGATATTTTAGTAAGATCAGAAAGAGAAATGGAAATTCAAACCTACTTCTCCCCAGTCCCACATATACATCCAGACTTCTAGAATATTCTTGAACTTGATTAGATGTACTGTCTCTGGTTTGATCACTGGAGCAAATAAGCAGGGATACATCTGATTATATACCCCACTGACTCAAACAGGTCATCCTGCCATCTATTAATTTTACCCAAGAACTTTATACTAGAAAATGCATGAGCGATCCTCATAAGAAATGTTACACCTTAAGTCTTTTAAGGGAATCTTGATCATATTAAACTTTGAAGTTAAGCATACAGAGTTTTTCTGACCTTGTAAATTCCTTGGTATTCCACTCTGGACAATGGCCAGCTTTAGTATGTGGACTACTTTGCTGGCACCTACTTTCCCCTGCTAATTAGCGCTCCGCGCAGGAGAATACTGTCTGTATCAAGAAAAGAGGGAAATGCCATCTTGATATAGAGCCACCTCCACCCACATGTCCTCAAATAACACCTAAGTGGCATCCTCACTCTAATACCTGCTGTACATTCTTAGGAACCTGTAGGCTTCTGAGGCTTTTGCTTATTTGCAGATAGGCTTTATAAGGCAGGTGACTCTTCATAGCTCTCATAACTTCTCTCACATCTGTGGAACTGAAGCTACAGCTTATAAGAAATCCTGGCCTATTTTTCTTCCTTTCTTTTTCTTCTGAAAGTTGGAAAGAAGGATAGCCATTTTTCATGACACTTTCTCACCACAGCAAATGCTGTACTCAAGTCAGTCTTTTTTTCTCCTGGTTGGTTGTTTTGTTTGTTTTAAGGATCACATTAAAAGCGTAATTGTTTTCAGTTTGAGAAAATAATTTTTTTCATGATTTAAAATTAATTGCAACCAATTTGTAATAAATGTTTGCTTTTCCTCTACCTTCCTAAAATTCTGTGTAAATGAAAACCTTCTAAAAACTTAAGTGAAAGTAATGAACAGCAAATGAAGTAAATGACAAGCTCATGATGATATAATGTATATTACATGAAATAATGAATTTAATATGGTATACTGTAAATTGATTGAACTGCATTCTACACTTCTAAATTGCAGTTAAGTAGCATCATAGGATCATATCGAGCCATATCCAGCATCTAAAGCTCTGAATGCCCCCTACTGTTTCTATTACATAAAATTGGAAAAAACCAGTAAAGAGTCAAACAGTTAAAGGACAATTATTTTGTGGGGGTTGTGGAATATAGACTGGCAACTACACAAAGAATGTGGTTACAGCATAACAATTATGTAAGAAGAATTCTGTCACTGTTTAATACAGGATTCTTAATTGACAGGTATGTTGTATGTTTTAAATTAAAAAAAATATGGTGAAATTACAAAAATATAAGTGTTTAACTTCATTGACGAAGACTTAAAATTATGTAAATTATCAATTGAATTAATTTCAAATATGTAGTATGAGATCAAGACTTGTTATTAAATAATACCAAATAAAACACAGTCAAACTACGTACATGTTTATTTATATAAGGACATCTGGATAGCACAAAGATTTATTATGGCAATTCTCATCATAAATTAACATAACTGATAACAAATCCTAATCTATGAAAAATGGTTAATAAATAACATACATAACAGCCACATACAGATCAATAGGTAGTGGGTTTTTGCAGGAAAAAAAAAGATGAGTGACATCAGGAATAAACATAAAGCTCAAAGTATGATTTTAGTATATATATATGTACGGAAAATGAATAGTGAAAAATTTACCAGAAAAAATGTGAATGGTTCTGAAATTTCTTGGTGATCTCTCTTTTTCTTTATGCACATAGCATGTCTTTTATCTTAAATTGATGTATTCAGTGTACTGTAGAATTTACTGGTGCATCAAATTGTAATAGTCACAGAAACCACTCCCATTTCTTTAATATTGTTTGACACTTCTGAAATATGAAGGAGAAGAGTTCAAGATGCATTCATAATATGTAAATACCTAACATCTAACTTATTTACTGACTTCTTCAAAACATCAGAATGAAGCACAGACATTATGTGCTTCTCCCAGTGACACCTCAAGGACTTCCAGGAGTACAGTTAATTTCCAAAATAGCCTGCAAAACCAATATTTTTTAAGTTCTGCATTTGATTTTACCCCTTCCCCTAAAATTAGAGACTATGTGGATGAATTTCTATTTCCCTTGCAACTCTTACTCTGCTTTATTCAGAAGACAAAATATGCAGGAGCCATCTTTTTGATTTGAGCCAATTGCAGAAATAAATTAGAAGAAAAATTTTTTCATCGTAGTCAACCAGATTACTGTTTTTTACAATGTTTACATAAGTAAAGGTGAATTTCAATTGAAAGTCAGTAGATTTGATTTTGATTCCCACTGAGTACTTTGCAGGCAAACTTCCTTTATTTTTTCAGAATGATTAACTTATTGGTGGAACTTCTCAGGAAACTGTCTTCCTGATTTAATATATATGGTAAGACCATCCTGACATCATTCCTTTCTCTGTCTTGGATATATTGTTTTGTTTGTTTTTTTTTCTCCTTTGTTTAATTCTTTAGTCATTAAAGCCTTATTTTTGTATTTTTTCCCTCTTTAGCTACTATTCTTGAGTATACTGAGTATACAGTTAGATGTTTTCAAAGCCTCCCATTGTTCCATCCTTCTTTAATTTTAACTGAAGTGCTTGTTTTGTAACTGAGAAAACAGCAAAAAGCTTTTCATAACAAATGTCTCATTTAGTTACTTGACATTGGGTTTATGTGACAAAGAAATGGCTCCATGATTTAGGAAGTCTTCCTTTTCAAGTTCATCATCAAAATGCATTGATAATAGGGAAGTTGAACATTCTTTGGGAAGGTCTGTTAAATCACTACTTGAGTTATTATTGGTTGTACAGTACTTGCATGGACTTTAGGAGCTTTAAAACTTGCTTGACAAAAATATCATACTACACAGCTATGCAACAGAAGTCCTAAATTTACCCACAGTTTAATAGAGGCTTCACAAGGGCCTATATAATATTCATGATAGCCATTCATTCTCTTGATATGTCCTGTACTACTTCACTATCAGACTGCCAAGCTACAATAACTGTCTCTATAATGTATTTGCTAATCTGTCCTCTAATGAATAGACCTCAAGATATGTTCTACATTTGACAGTGCCATGCATTCTTAGTAGCTAAATTTGTAGTACAGCCTGCAATACTGATGAGATGCAGTGCTGTGAAGGCACAATTCAGCCACACAAGCATGAGTTCTGGCTGCATGTGGAAGAGAATGGATTCAGAGAAGGACTACAAAATGTCAGGATCATGCCCACAAAGAGACCCGTGTAACAAATAATGAAGAAGAAAATTAAAAAAAGATTAAAAGCTGAATCATAGAATGGTTTCCTTATTTCTGAAAGAGGTCCACTGGGCCATAAGAGTAGCTGCTTGGTTAAAATATTATTAATTGTGAATATTAGAGACTTCTGTTTTACACTGTGTTTGCATAATGTTGGTCTAGTCTTTTTATCTTACATTTTGTATGTCTTCAATTGGTTTTGATTTCTTGATTCTTTTGCTCTTAGAATCACTCATTCGTAGGGTCTATCTTGTAGTTTCTAACATGTAATGAAGCATCTGAAATTCCTACAAGAATTCTAACCTTTTTCTTCAGCACTATGTATTATTTAGCGCTTGGATATCATATTTGAAGCTCTAATTACAGAATGGTAACTTGCATTTAGACATTTTATAGCAGATTAACTGCTCACTGCAGTGGCTGTTAACACATAAACTTTCTGTACTCCAGGAGCAGTTGTTTACACTTGGGACTGAAAATATAGGCAGTAGTACTAAATTACTAGTAATTTCTTCAAGAATATTTTTTCACATCTTTCATATATTGCTTCAAAATAGTGTGTTACTTTAGAGATATGAAGACAAACTACCTACCTACTACTACTACAAATCAATAGATTTACACCTGAGTTAGCTTTGACCGTACAAAAGACCTATCAGAACTAATAGCATTTGTGGGAGCAGGGAAATCACATCATTTCAGTTGTTAAAATAAATATCTTCATATGTTGGAGGTTTTTTTCAATTATTATTCTTACAGTATGTCTTCTTTAAACAAATTTCTTAAGGAGGAAACTCATAAGGCTGACAGACATTCATGGCCATCTTTCCCTGAGGGGTGAGAAGAGGAAGATAGTTTCTTCTAGTCCAGGAAATACACATTAGAGCCTCCATTATCTTAGGGGTCTCTCTGGGAATGCTGAACCAACTGTGTCTCTCTAGTCTTTCCTAAATTTGAAGATGGCAGACTCTGTCAAAACCTACATAAAACCTCTCTCCTCCCTCCTCAGAAAAACCTCATGATTCCAAGGTGATTTATATAAGTAGTACTAAATTGTCAAAGCAGATAAATTTAGAGGGCAGTTAAACAAGTTTTAATTTACTCTTTGAAAGTTAAAAATCATTCTGTCTTTGATTAATTTACATTTTGAAGAGGGAAGGATGTTTTATTAGAGTTCTAATTAGGTAACACCTCTCAGCTCTGATGACACAATATATACAATGCCTGTTCTGACTGCATATATGTAGGTAATTTAATTATCATGTTTGCCCAGGTTGGATTCTTCTGCTTTATTTCTCTGATACCTAGTTCTTTATAATTTTGTATCAGTTGGTCATTAAGTGAAATATAGGTTTAATTTGGCAAATACAAACCATAGAAAAATGTTCAACAATGTATATTTGAAAATAGTAACATTTTGTTACCTCTGTGCACCATGCTGTTTTAAAATATACTTTTCTGTAAATATGCCCTTGCATGAAAATTCAGCTGGATATTCTTTATCTAGAGGGAGCAAATTTCAGTTGGCTGCTCAGCAACAGTGATTTGGACTGTTTAGTCTCTATGTGTCTATATCTATCACCACATTTTGAGAAAAGGACCATAGCAAATTTAATTTTTATGTCTCTTTAAACATTTAATCAGAATACTTTTAAGCTACAATATTGGATCATTGGCATAAGATTCCAAATACTTTAAGTAATATCCATAAATTCTTGAAAAAAATTCAAACATAAACAGATATTGGACAGATAGTTACAGTTGTAAGCATGTATTTTGCTATTCACCTCCCAGAATATGAATATACTTATACATCTAATTTCTTTGTGTAACTATTTCCATTGGATATATAGAGTAACTGTAGGCAAAAATTACGATAATTGGCCATTTTATGTGCAGTTATCTGATTTTCATTCTTAATTGTACACAAAATTAGGCTGCGATTGCCTATTCCTCTGTCTGTCCATGAAGTATTGAAAACCTAAAAACAGATTTTAATAAACTGTACTTGTGATTTGTGGGTATACCACTGTACATAAGAAAATTGCTTTGCCTAGTCCTGTGTAAAGGATACATTAGAAGTCATTAGAGCACAAAAAGCTTATCACAGGTGGTTGATAGATCATTGCAACCATGTAGTATTGTGATGTCTTTTAATCTGAATTTATGGTCTACGTAATAAAGAAAGAGCACGTGGTGGTCTGAATAATGCACAATGATTCAAATACTTACTATTCATCAAGCTATGTCTGCCAATGGAAGCTTCTCACTTTCTACCTGGCTTTTCTCCAGCCTATGTCTTGCAGTTTAGAAGGAAACACATTCCGGTCTCTCGGATTTTGTGTGGTGGTGCAGACACCCAGAAGAGTTTAACTGCAACATTGTTTTACCTAAATGTATTTATCTGTCTCTTCCGTTTCCCAAGTTCATCTGAGTCACTTTAAATTACAAGAAGACATGAAAATGACAGCAATGAAGTTAAAACCCCAAACCCAAGCATTAAGTTCTTGGTTATAGAGTTAGAAACACCATAACCAAAAAGAAAAGTTTTTCCCCTTTCCATCTTTCTAGTTTGTACTGCGCAGGATGGATATTCTTTTGCTCGCTGGCTTATGAGTAAGAGTCCAAAGCCTCATTTCTCTAAATCTCTCACTGTTTTTGTCTTTCAAAAAGACAATTTTTTTTTTCTATTTTTAATTCTCTGTCCTCTGAACTTTCTTCAGTTGTTTCCTTGAGAGATAGAACTATGGATTCAGATTTATCACTTCTCCTTTCTTTAGAATTACATTTCTACCTTTCTTTAGTATCTTTTCTGAATTTACATTAATTTTTTATTTCTTTATATGACACGTTAGCTTACTGGCTTTCTACTTTTACAACATTTCATAAACTGTCATAACATTTTATAAATCATGTATCAGAAGAGGCATTCGGTGTACATACTTTTAAAATTTATAGAGTCTAACCTATTTTAAGGCTATATAGAGATTATATATAATATATTAGTAATATAGATGGCATATAGAATCCAGAGAGCTGTATAAATTATTTCCTTCCTCTTTGCCTGAAGTTATTTGTCTCTTTGGGATTGCAAGTATACAGACAGAACTGGAAGAAAACAATTAAAGAAGGTACTGCTTAGCCTCAATATTTATTATTAAATTTATTGAATAGTGTTTTGGGAAGACTTGGGGGGCATTGCTTTATAAAGGAAAAACCTATTCAGTCCACAGCATACACATACTCATGTGCCCTAAAAACACACACATATATCTCTTCCTGGAGCACTGAGAAGACTTAACTGCTTAAGTGACGTGTTAAGTCTTTCTACAGTTGCTATTTTGTATTCTTCCAAACTTTAGTTGTTGTCTCAATAGTAGATTTTTATAGTGATACATGAAACTAACTTGTGCCTGATATATTTTCGTTGCACAGTTTTTCTCCATAATTCACTTATCTAGTAACAAACTGCTAGGGTACAAAACCAGCAAAAATGAGAAGAGAGACTTCAGTGTCTGAGTGTTTCTAAGAGAAGGACTCACCTATGATTTCAGGAACAGTTGAATCAAGGAGAGTTACAGATTTTGGTGTATCATGACGAGCCTACAAGGTTTTTAGGAGCACATTGTTAAAAATGGATTGGGAGCAATGTGGACACATAGGGACCTGATCTGCTTGAGAGCCACAAAGCTGAAGTAATAATGTATTATTAGTAAAATTTTAGTGGAGTAATTTTTAAGCATTTAACATACATTACCATACATTATATTAGAAACCCTGCTTCTGTAGTGATCTCATGGAAGCTGAACAGTTCTATTATATGATTAAACATGAATTTCTGAAGCTTTTATTTTACTTTAACAGAACAATGAAAATGAAACAGCACTGCATTGTGCAGCTCAGTATGGTCATTCAGAAGTTGTTGCTGTTCTGTTGGAAGAGCTGACAGACCCTACAATAAGGAACAACAAACTGGAAACACCTCTGGATCTGGCAGCACTTTATGGACGTCTGCGTGTTGTAAAAATGATCATTAAAGCATATCCAAACCTGATGAACTGTAATACAAGAAAACACACTCCTTTGCATCTTGCTGCACGTAATGGCCACAAAGCTGTTGTACAGGTGCTTCTGGAGGCTGGAATGGATGTCAGCTGCCAAGTTAGTGTGTAATTTCTTTCTTCTTCCTTTCATACTTTCTTCCTTTCCTACCTTTCCTTTATCATTAGAATATGATTCAAATGAAATAACTTTTAACTTTTTTCTTTAAAATAGACTTGCATTTACTTTGTTAGAAATGCTGCAAGGTGAAATATAATACAGATTTATTTTTTACATTGCAAATGATGTGTTCAAAGGGGTAACTCAAGAAAGATGCATGTCTTCAAAGCCGAGTGCATATATTTATATTGTCTTGAGACATGTAGATACACAAATCATATCAACTGTTCACGTAGGTGTATATAACTATATTTTCTACAACAGTGGCTGTAATGATACCAAACTGATTTGCCAAAGCTATGGCCTTTCATGGTCATAGCAATCTGAAACAGTGCTTGACTGAGAACTCCTTTTCCAAAGGTTGTTAGGTTCCATGCTAAACCCAAAGTTACTAGGTAATAACCATTTTGATTTTCTGCATTTCTAACTTGTTGTCTAAATCTGAAAGAAAATTCTATAGCAATACACTCTTACAGCTACTGACTCCAAGCTGTTAGGTGCTTGGTGCATCTAGTTCTATGCACAATAAGTTATAATAATGTAAAAGGGGTAACTATAAATAAAATAGACATAGTTTGGAACAGCTACAAGGTACAGCAGCAGTAAATTTTATGTTCAGTTCTTTCTACTGGAAAGTGTCCAAGCCCTTTAACAAGAGAGGACTAGATTCTGTTATGTGTGACGTGTTGCCTCAATCTTATGATTTCACTTGATTTAATTGACGACACTTTATTTGTGTTTAAAGTGTATTTTACCTTCAGATTTAAAGTAGCTTTCTTGGTGTGTATATATATATATGTATATATAAAAATATACTTTGAATTAAGGTTGTTTCAGGTTTATATCTATGTTCAGATAAACAAACAAACCAAACAATTACATCTAGTTTAGAGTCACATCCAGACATTCTCACCAATTAATAAATCTTGGGAACTTTGCCTAAACTTTGACTAAATTTTATATCCACTTTAAGCTTTATGTGCATTTAATCAAAACCTTTGTACATAAAATTCCCTTTTATATAGAAAGATTGCGCCTAGATTCCATGTATTTTCATTTCTGAATTCTTCCATCAAGGTGCTGTTTTTCAACTTTTGAGAAAAAGAATGTGAAGTGAGGAAGAAAAAATAGTCTAAAAAAAGAAAAAACAAAGAACAAAACAAACCATAAAATATTAGCATATTTTAAGATTAAAAATGGATATTCTTAAGTGCCTTGCAGATGAGATGAGGTAAAATTGTTTTACGACTTCTATTATCTCTAGTATGTTTTGAATTGGCGTTGTTACTTGCTTCAAACTATTTTAAGCTGAAACACTTTCCTGTGGTTTGCCTACTTGTGTATTTGCCTACCATTATACTTTCAATTTAATTTGATTTTGATTTTCTTTACTAGAAAGAGATACACTTGCAAAGGTTAATACAAACAGCTTTTTTTTTATCTGACTTTTACTACATCTTCAGTAATTTAGAAAAGGTTAATGCTACAGAACTCTCAAATGCATGTTTCTGAATGTATAATTTCTATCTCTAGCAAATGAGGAAAAATTCAGAAAGTGATGCCTGAATTGATATTTAAGACAGAATAATTGAAGAAAAATAATCTCTGTCATGGCAACTTACAGACTGATGGTTGCATGAGGGCAAAATATTACGCAATGCTTTTATGAAATGTGTTCTTTCTCTTATGTAATCTAGATAATTTTAGCACTACTGTGAATTCTCCTAAGCCATTTTTATCTATAGTTATACCAAAAGTTTTTCACTGGCCTTTAAAAAATGCAGTGACTGCAATTTTTTTTTACAATCTTCTTTTAAGAAATAAGAGATTCTTTTAATAATGGTGATATGTTTGGCATCTACACTAAAATTACAGGGCTTACTTGGTTTATTTATTTATTTTTATTCTAATTTCTTTTAAGGAATTTATGTTCTTGGGTTTTTTCGTAGTTATTTAGAGGCAGGGCAGTTATTTTATTTTGTTTTATTTTTTGCACTCAGTTGTCTTGTTTCTTCTATGTTTGTCCTCCTTGCCGTAAGGAAATATCACTTATTTATTTTCTCACTGGTATACATATTCTCTATCAATATGTTCCTTTTCATTCAGCATCTTAGCATATTGACAATTTGGCTCTGTACATATTGTTGACTTATTACTTCTATAGCCTCTGAAAAATTCTGTTGATGATTACTGGCAGCTAATTAAACTGAGCAGAACATGCAATGAGCCTGTTACTTAAAACTGAACTCGACTTTTGTTATTAATTAAATTGATCTGCATCACTTATTGGGAAAAAATAATATACAGTTCATACATGTTAAATAAATTCAGTTTATCACCAGTAGAGAGCTCTCAGAATGTTGAGATGATTATAGAAGTAGCCTGTCTCTTATCACTCTGTAATTGTAAAAATATATTTATTTAAATGGGAAGTTTACTTTAGCCATGTTATCTTTCTCTTCTGTACTCCCTGAGCACTTTTAATATTAACAAATACTTGGGCTAATAAAAGACAGCATTTAATTTTTGAATAAATTAATCACACATTTTATTCACTTCCCAGGTCTATCCAATATCCTGCAATCTGAAACTATTTAGAATTGGGCAAATCTGCTTCATCTCTTTATGTTTTGAAGTTTTCATTTAAATTGAAACACTTGAAAAATACAGAGGTTTGGGGTGAGTGATAGATTTTGGGCCCTTAGTAAAATAAGGTACTGCACAGTTTCAGTCTGTTTCATGTAATAGTAGTTTAATAATTGTGAATACCTTAAAAACTAGTCCCCTTCTGCTTATCCAACTTTCATCTATCCCTGTTTGCCTTCCCTGTCTGTTACAGTAAGGATGGCAATTTCCACTGTTTATCACTGTAGTTCTCTTGCAAAAAGCTGTGCCCCTTCTTCCTTTTTGATGTCACTATGTATGGAGGATATTCGGTGAATCAGTTTGCAAAGCCACCATTCTGTCTTTCAGGTTCTGTCTGAAATCAGTATCAAAACTATAGCAAACTGCCTATAAATAAGGACTAAACAAGTGGCCTAATTAAAAGCTTTTGCATATTTGCACGATTAAAAAAAATTAATTTGTCACTACTAAAACCCTCAATGCTTCTATATGAGCAAATTATATGCAAAGTTGATTTATGTATCCTAGTGTTCCTGCTGACAATGTCCTTCTGTACTTGCTTGCTTTGTGTGTCCAGCTGCGACATTGTACCTGTATTTGGCTGTAAGCTACTTGGGGCAGGTACTGTTTTGTTATACGCTTAGCACAGTTTGTGCTCCAGTTCTCTGTATTTCATATACAGAAAACTTATGGCAGGTAATCAATATATAAGCCATTGATGCAAACTCAAGCAGACTTTAGCTCAGTGTATTCATGGAAAAATGCCAGCATTTTTTGTATTAAGTATCAATGGGAAAGAATTTCCAAATATAATGGTAGTGTTCACTTTGCCAGAAACATAAGATCCAAGTCAGTGAAAGCTTCAGGAAGTAAAGCAGTGAGTATTGTCCATAAATCTTAAGCTCGCTTGCTGTAGTATAGAAGAGTATATTAGTGCATAAGTATGTCATTGTAAGTGAAAAAGACCTACCTAAAAGTTCTATCACATTTGAAATAATATATAGAAATTATTTGCAACTATATTTTTTAATCCTCATGATTTGTGTAACATGCTCTGCTGCACAAGAAGAGACCATTCCAAACTACTTCTGCCTTCAAGTAGTAAGCCACATGTACATTTACAAAGAGAGATATATCTACTCGGCCAGTCCTCAGAATTTCTCATGGCCCTGTTCATCCTGAGGCTCAGCATTTTCTCTATGTTAAAACGGAGTTTGGTAACTGAACTCTCTCTGGTAACAAGGACATTTCTGCCTTCTGGATAGTTTTTGGGTCGAGGGATCTGATTCAGCTGTTAGTTATTAACTATTACCATGAAATCCTGCCTTGGGCTTTTAAGATTTATGTTAGCATTCATCTTTGTGCCATCTTATGCAGGATTACGCATCTACATCTTAAAAGTATGCTTTCAATCTCCATATTCTCAGACTGATTTTAGTTCAATTTCATGGTAATATTTTCCCTCTTGTTCAGAGAATCACCTTTAGAGCATACAGATCATTGCACTGCTTACGTGGTGTGCCTTTTGAATTCCTCTTTTGAGTAGACTGTTTGTAATATGTATCTCATTTCCGGGATATGACATTCATTAGCATTGTCTGAAAGCTCAGTTGTAAGGCATAGGCTGTCCCAGAATGCAAGGCAGTGCAGACTGCCTGTAAAGCATTTGAGGATTGTGTTCAGATATGACAGGAAATATCACGGTAGAATAGACCAAGAGGCAAGAAAGTATATAAGGAAAAAACCTGGCAGTTGGCTTTGGATCCCTCTCCCAACACTATGAATTACGTATGTAGAGGTGGCTTAAGGTTTTATACTCCTTTATGCATAGCAGAGCTTTTAGTTCATTGTTACAGAGCTGTCTTCTGGCTTTCAAGTTAGATTTGTTTGCCTTAGACATCTACAGGAAATTTCCTCTTCTCATATTTGTTTTCATTCCATTTCTTTTGAGATATGTGCTTTCATCAAGGAAAATATTGTTTACCTTTCCTCCGGTGGGGAATTTTGATTTAGAAAGGACTGCTGCCAGTGACAATTATCATATCAGGATCTTTTCCACCCTTTAACCGAGTAGTCTAAGCATAGATCCTCTTCCTGATTGTCAAAGCTGTTGATTTAGCATTCCAGAACATTGATCTTTCTCAGTCTCGGATCATGCTACAGCAATGGATTCTAGATAGCTGTTTTCATTAAAGTATGTCCACTTCTTCCATTAAAAAAGGTTCCTTATTAGTACAGAATGACCTCTGCAATTTTAGTCAAGGTGCAGCTGGTTTCCATCTCTGCAGTTCATCCTCACAGAACTAAAATTTAATGCTAAGGCCTTCTGTAGCAATTGAACCTCTGTGGACTTCATTGTTGGTGTATACATCACTAATTATTATCCCTGGCAGAATCACAGAATGGTTGAGGTTGGAAGGGAACTCTGGAAGTCTTCTATGCCAACCCACCCTGTCCAAGCAGAATCCCATGGAATAAGTTGCCCAGGACCACGTCCAAGCAACTTTTGAGTAGAGGATTGAAACTCTACAGCCTTCCTGAACAACCTGTACCAGCGTTCAGTCACCTGCACAGCAAAAAAATGTTTCCTTGTGTTCAAACAGAACCTACTGTGTGTCAGTTTTTCCCCATTATCTATTCTGTCACTGGACATGCCCAAGCCTGGCTCCCTCCCTGCAGATATTTGTACACATTGACGAGGTCCTTCTTTATAAGCTTTCATTTGTCTAGGCTAAAAAGTCCCAACTTTCTAAACCTTTCCTCATAAAAGAGGTGTTCCAGTCTCTAAATCATTTTAGTGACTCTCTCTAGTAGCTCCGCATCTTATCTTATACTGGAGTGCCCGGAACTGGACAGAGTATTTCAGGTGTGGACTCACCAGTGGTGAACAGGAGGGAAGGCCTCCTCCCTTGACCTGCTGTCAATACTCCTCCTTGATGACAGGGAACTCTACAGGTCCAGCTAAAAGTCTTGAGGTTTATTTATGTCAGTAAGTGACTGTTCCAAAGGAAATGCCATATCACACACAGAGAATAATAGGCTGTGTCAAAGTATTTTTTGAGATTGCTAATGTCAAACCTCTTTTTGTAATTGGAACTATTTAGTTCAATGACTTTTCTGAGAACTGTTGTTATTCTCATAAATCTCTGAGCTGCACTTAAGTCTCTGTGTGTACCTTTGTGGTTGCACTGTCATTGCAGTTAGCTCATGTTGAAGTTGACTTCAGTAACTGGAAACATCCTGTAGATACTGTTTGAGTAAAGGATTCTGAAACTGTGTCTATCTTAATATTTAGTCTTCTTGTTCAGAATAAACCTGTAAATGTTCATCTGGACTGCTTCTGAAAATGGAAAGATTAGAAATTGTTTTGAGAGGTGTGTTTCATATGTTCATTCTCTACTGACTTCCTTCTCCTCTGTTATACTGTCACTAGACCTGATGCACGGGAAGTAGATATCACTGGGCATCCTCTACTTGTTATGTCCATGTATTAAGTGTGAGGAAAGATAATAAGTGAGCCTTCCTATTATGGACCTAGGAAACACTTCTCAGGCTCAATTGGTAGGGCATGTATACCCTTACAGTGTGCTCACACCTTATCTCAGGATCTCTGATTACTTCTGAATATCCTGTAGTTGCATTGCTGTAATTCTGATGCATTCTGACACAAGTAATTAATAATGAATCACTGTATTCTTTCAGAGTTGGAGTTTTTATGTGTGTGTATGTGTGTGTCTTTTAAGTCTTTCTACCACAGCAAGTATGACAAGGGTGCATTTGGATAAAATATAGAAAAAACAAATTCAAGGAGTAAAACCTTTAACATTTGCCCATAAATAAATCTCAAAATCAAATTTATTATCAAAAAAGGAGATAAACCAGATATTCAGTGAGATTTAGTAGTGCTTTAGCTAGTGCTAATGCTATTGTATGGAAAGATGTGTTGTTCAGAGTTTTCAGTTACAGTCAGCAGGATAAAATACTAAGAAAAGTAGCTTATTAAGAGAGGTATCTTGTTTTTCAATACTGTAAATTTTATTTCAGCAAGAGTCTGCTTTTTTGGGTCAAAGAAACCTGCAAAATCAAGTTCACAGACATCTAAGGTAGAATTTAAATGTTATAAACATAGGCATCTAATGCTGTTGGAGATGCCTTAGGGTATGCAGAGCATCTGTATGAGGCAGATGTGAGGCAGATCAAATGTGAGCATCAACTGGATCATCAGCTGGGGGCCAGGTGGGATATCCTGGGGCATCTCTCACCCTGCAACTGAATTGACCTTCTAGGGTGTGATCCACTTTCACATTAAAACTTCTAATTGTAGATATCCACATGTAAACTGTCTGACTTTGCTGAGCAGCTGATATATTGATGGTACTGATGGTATTGACTAGATTTTCACTGCCTGTTATAGGAGTCTAGAAATTTTACACAAATGCAGGCTTGTTAACTGGGAATTGTATTACATTCCTACTATATTTTCTTATATAGGTATTAATTTTATAGTAGAACTGACAACATTTATGTTGTTATCTTTAATAATAATAAAAAATGGTAGTATTTGTTCTTACCCATTCAGTGTTTTCTATGTATAGATAAAATAGAGAGGAAAAAATAATGAAATACTTCTTTTCTTAATGTATTCTTTACAAAAAGATTAATTGGTATTTTAATTTGCATTTTAAATGTCACAATATTTCTTTTCTAGACAGAAAAAGGGAGCGCACTACACGAAGCAGCCCTATTTGGAAAGGTGGAGGTAGTACGCATTTTGCTTGAAACAGGTAAATCTGATTTACAGGAAACACTGAAAAATACCCTTAATTTTCCTAATCTCTGTGTGCCTCATCAACTTTTGGTTATACAAATTACTTTGATCTTTATCAGCCTTTGCAAATCTAATCACATGTACTTCTCTTTAAAACACAGTTCTTTTAGAATAAGAAATTGCTGTATGCAGAGAACAAAGGGGATTGCACTAAGACTCATAAATTCCGTATATGACTCAGTGTATGCCACTGTATTCTGAGAATAAATGTATTCTGAGAACAAAATGGCTACATAAAATTTTGTTATTCACTCTGAAAGACAGCCAAGAATATTCTTTGATGTAGAGACCAGAATACTCATGTTCACATTTATTTCCTTCCGTTAGCTATTCCTAACAACCACACTATCCTGCTTGCTCCTTCATTTCCTGAATAAACTTTGAGTCCCTGTGAAGAAAAGGGGAGGCACTGTGTCTCTGAGAATTGCATTTGTCCTGAAAGGACAGAAGAACAGGGATATAAAGTCCAAACAAACCCATCTACTACATAATAAGAGTTTCAGAATTTTTTTGCAGGTAAATCACTCATCTAGACAACCATCTTAAATAAATGAGATCAACAAAAATAAAAATATCTAGAAATAACTTCTCACTGATACGTGAACTTTTGTTACGCTGAGGGATCTCATTCATCTTTCTTATCAGTGCTTGTGGGGTTATTTATATATTGCAGAAGAAGGTATGTCATAATCACAGCTCCTTATCTGAATCTCAACCTGATCTGAGAACTGTTTTCAGAAAAAAAAGTCCTTCCAAGTTGCTTTTCTGTTTGGATGAATGAGAAGGAGGCTGAAAGGGATTTTCTCGTTTTTATTTCCTAAAAAAGGAAGGACTGGAGAATATCACAGAAACATAGGAAGCCCTTTAGACTACAGAAAAAGAACACCTCTTATAGATTAATACATGTTACAGCCTCTGCCAGCGTATAATTGTACAAGACAGGACAGTAGAATTTTCATGGTGAACTCTTTCAACCCCAAATGCTCTGCAATTCTGCAACACTCCCCACCTTCTTCCTTTTTTACCTCACAATGCCCTTTTCTCTAGTTCTGCTTCAAAAAGACTCAGATGATGTTTTAAGTAGCTACTGCGAAGGAAAGGTGTAAGTTGGTGTGTCTGGCCTCTTACAGTCAGCTGCCACTGCTAAATTAGCCCAGCAATATTTTGGCTTTATTTTCAGTGGGGAAAAAAAAAAAAATCTCTTTCTTACAAAACGAACTAGGAGACTATCCATTGGGTTAGGAAATTACTAGAACTGCAGCCTTTTCCAATGAATGCTTTCAAAATGTGCTTATAAATCCTGCTTCCTCTGATCTTCTCTGTTCAGTGTCCTGAGAAGAATTTCGCTTTGTTAGGACTTTTCATGCCTTTACTTTTTATGGAAGTACATCCAAACTGAAAACCAACTTGAGTCTTCTACCATAAGGCAAACATTTCTGAGGCAACCCTACAAGGCAAAGGTAGAGAGTCATGCAGTATCACATACAACAGGTTCTGATTCAGGGCAAGCCTTAAACATAGTGGTTACATTCACAATTTGAGCCAATTACTTTGTCAGCAGTCTGAACAGTCAGTGAGGAAACGCTGTAGCTGTTCCCAATGCCCACATACTACACATGGGTATTTCACTCTATTCAGAGCATGACTTTCAAAAATGTTGCCTGAAGTACCACTTTATTAACATAAAGTTAAAAACTTTTTCATATTTGTCATGCTAAAAAGGGGCAGAAAAGAAGAATTTTCTGTCCAACCTGTCTTAATTTATTTTTGTCTATCAGTGTTCCTCCAGGAGATCAAAGCCTTTTAATGTCCAAAACAGTCTGTTAGTGTCTCATTAGGTGAGACCCTTTGCTTAACAGGTTGGCTGAGACAGACAGGGCGTTTGATACATTTTTTTACAGAGACTACACTTAATAGCGATAGGGAAACCCCTTAGCAAGTTTCTCCTGTGAGTTATTTTGCCGTCAACGAAACTGTCAGCACCTAGAAACAGACTCACTCTAACAGTTCACAAAATAACACATTTATTAATACAAATTTGTGACAATTTATAGGGTTCATTTCGTCTGGAATAGGGTCTAACTGTAAAAACACTTTTAAACTATGTAGTAATAATAATGAAGCAAAACATAAGCAAAAACTTTAAAGCAAAACAACTTACTAAGAGTACTATGAAGCAAAAGTAAACTCTAGCTATTTATAAGCCATTGGCATGCCTAAGATACGTCTCACCTTCCAGGCATCACCAGAACTAAAGGGAGAAAGACCAGCTTGTCAGCCATCTCTCGCAGTGTTGATGGAACTTCTCCCCTGTTTTTGCTTATGTCCAATCTCTTTTTATACCTTTTTTCTTAGGCACTTTGAGTGGCTATAGTCAATAAACTACTTTTGGAGTGATAGACAAATGACACAGGCCCAAGGGGGGTTTTTGTGTGTTCCCATCTGGCAGGAGGTTTGCAGATGAAGGCCGTGCTATCTCCATATCACTCCTTTCTTTGTCTAGTCCTCTTATTAGTTTCTGGGAATGTCTCCCCAGGAGCTGGGGTCTTCCAGGAAACCATCAGGAGTTTTTTTTCTCCTTGTCTATCACCTTACAGTATTGTTCCCAAAACACATATTTGTACTATCAACTAGAAAGTCCCAGTGAATTAAAGCAGTTTGGAGAGGAACATAGGACAAACATTCAGAGAATTTCTTGGTTTTATAAAATATTCTTTTCAGGATGCCTGTTTCTGAGAAACAGATTGTTAAAATAATCCCAAATTTGGTTTAAGAAGCTTACTTTATATCCCCATGAGTTACAGAAACATGAAACCCATCCATGTCAGCATGTGAATTTTAGGCTACTCAAGCTTTAAAGAGTCTGCTGTACTTCTGCTGTAATGCAGCTGTTAATCTGCTGCAGTTGTAAGAACACTTGCTTTCAATTTGCCAGATAGTTGAGTCTGATACAGTACATTTCTAATCCAAAGCACTTGGGGTTAAAAATTCCACCACAGATCATTTTCTTTTTCAGGAATAGATACCAACATAAAGGACAGTTTGGGTAGAACGGTTTTGGATATACTTAAAGAACATCCATCTCAGCAGTCACTTCAAATTGCAGCTCTACTTCAAGGTAAGTCATATTCAGTTATACATTTGTTAGAGATGAATCAGAATAGCATGGAGAAATATTAAGGCATATAGTAATTTCTAGTCTTTAAATACTTTGTTATAGAAAAGAACAGTCTTTTCAATTAAACATACAAAATTCTTGTTTGCTAGTTGAACAAAAATAAGTGGTTCAGTATCTGAAATTCAGAGTAAACCTTTTCTTTTTTGTGGACCATAGAAATTAGCATGGTGTGTCACTTAATAGTTACTCTTCATTACCCACTGTAATGTTTCACTTCATTTCTATTAAATTGTAATGATAACCTACAATTGAAATGCTTGATTCATTCATAAATAACAATATATGACTGAAAGATGATGATATTTTTCCAAAACATTTCATTGTATTTTTCTCAATTTCCTTAATTATTAAAACCTAAAACTACAAAACAACAACAAAAAACCCAAAACAAACAACCCCCCCCCCAAACAAAACAAAACAAATAAAAAACAAACCAGGCAATATTGCTTGTTATTACAGCAGAAATGCTTTTTTTTTCTGTACATATCTTCGTTGTCATTCCTCATCTTTCTTTCATGGTGTAAGACTGTTGGAAGTCCATTGTTTACTTCAGGTTTTTACTCTAGAAGATGGCAGTAAAGTGATGAAACATGAATTAGGGCATAACTCAGTGTTAATTATAATTTATTCTCCTCTATGAAATTTTTTTCCTTCATCTTCAGAATAGTCTTTCATTAACTGTGTTTGACAGAGGAGTTCCTGCAGGTATCACTGCTGCCTCTCCCTCTGTATTGATTATCCCACCTTTAAAGAAGGCATTTTAATAAGTTCAGTGGTGGTTCTACATATGAACTAGCTTATGCTTCAGTCTCCTGCATAACTATATTTTATTAGAGCATTTCCTAGAGAAAATGAGGTCATGTGGCCACGCTGCATCCTTTCTTTTCTGAATAGCTTCCAAACTTGTTGACTAGCTTCAGTAAAGTTTTCCTGTGAGATGATAGACTGAAGATACAAAGCTCTTAAAAGTATAATGAAAATTTTGCAGGATGGAGGACAGGTATTTCTGTAAGAAGCAGATTCATGTATAGCTGAACTGAATTAACAGCTTGCCTTGAGATCTCCCTCCTTCCTATTTTCCTTTGCTGTTTCCCTCATTTCCCCCTCCTCCTCCTCTTCTTCCACCTACTCAGTTCCCTTACATATTCCCCACTTACAGGAGATTTCACAGTGACCTGATACAGTTCATGAACCATTAAAATACAAAAATGTATTTATTATATTAAATATATTTAATAGTACATAAAATATTAAGAAATATTATTATAAATATAGTTTTTGTTGTTTTAATGGACCTGCCTTCTATGTGATTCAGGTCCTAGAGTTAGCTCTGTCCCAGGTATCTGGCAGAATCAGAAAGTGGGGAGGAGGATATGTGTGAGGGATGTAGGGCTTCCCCCAGTCTGCAAAAGGGAGTTCCTAATTAGACTCAGACTCAAACTCATGCTTCAACCTTTATGTCCTCACTCAGCTGCAGCATGAACATACCACTGTGTAGAGGAAAAGAGAGTTAATGTTATACTGAAACTTCTTCAGTGGCAGGGAAAGGGGCAGTCAGAACTTCCGCTTTCTTAGACATCCAAATCAGTCATCCTTCAGATATTAATCTAGGTTTTATCATGAAGTTCCATCACCAACTAAACTAATTTTCATTTTAATATCTCTTTATTGTTCCATTTTCTCCTTAGTGTGATAATCTTGCAGTCTCAACCCCACTGATGAACAGTTTCTTCAAAGTACGCTTGCTCTATGAATAATAAAGCACCCAGACCCCTCTCAGGGGTTTCTCATGTTGATGGATCAGTACCTGCCCTCAGTTTTTAACCACACACACACACGCAAAAGAAATATATCAATTTCAAGGCTTTTTGATGCATTGACGTAGAATCTTTTTTAAATGTGTGCCTTGAAAGTATAAAGATGACTGCTTAGTAGCTTCAGCTCATATTAGTGTGATGAAACTGTGCTTTTAATGAGCAGCTGTTTATTTTTGCTCTGTCTGCCTTATAGTCAGAAGTGAGTACAAGGATGAAAAATGTTACAAAGATGTCATTCTGACTCTTAAGACAACCTGAGGAGCCCCTTCAGAACTCCCTTAGAACCCACTTAGATTCTTTTTCATCAGCAAAATGTTCACTGAAGCTTTGTCCATCAAAGATAAAGTTTGAACTGTGAACCGAAGTTGAAAAATAAAATCAGGAGTGGTAGGATTCAGTACTAGCACTGCTGATGATACAGTTGACCCTCCTTCCTCTAAAAAGCCAGCTGAGTATACTCTTCACTAAAGTGTGGGTATTTATCCTATTGTAGCTGAAAAGTCAGTGAAGCACTGGGATTTTGGCAATCTTGAATGTACTGTAATTGAGTTTGATGATGGGTAATGAATTCCATGCAAAGAAAGGGCAATTACAAAGAGAGCTTCAGTGGCTTCCAAATACGTTCCCATTAAAGCTGCTGTCTTCAGATGATTGTCTAGAGAAGCTTATGTATCTCCTTCATGTAGACTTACAGGAAAAAGAAATTAAATTAATGGTGTCAGACAATTACTGGCCAGATTTTGTAAGTTTCTTGCTAATTTTGTTCTTTTTGCAGACATAATGTCATTGAATTTATTCTTTCACCTTGTTGCCAGGATAGAGTAAGATTTTTATCACCTAGCATTCTCATTAATTTTTACTGTTTACCCCTTGCACTGTTATGAGTGTTACTGCACAGTTTATAGCATTAACAGCATAATGTTTATCCCTGCCACAAAACATTAGCTTTCCACATAGGCTGAAAGATGCATATGAACAGGCTGGCAGAAATTACCAAGGAAATAATGTGTCTGGTATTACTAGTGGGCCTGATAGGTTCTTCACCCCTATGTGCAGAGGGTTAACAGAGTTGTAAGGAAAGTTTAGAAAGAAAATGGTTTTGAGGATATTTATGAGAAAATTCTTTGAAGAAGATAAAGTAATTTATATGTTTAGAAGCAGTTAATGGAAGCAGTAATGCAAAATTCATTGAGCTGATCCTGAAACCTTCAGGGCTGATAGCCAGCTGTGAATGAATGCCCTCACAGTATTTAAGAACTGTGGATATAAATTGTTCTCTCTTTTTAAAAGAATATTTAGAAAACTACTTTTTACAGGTTATGGGTTTAAAAGAAACAAAACCTTTTGCTAATGAGGTTTTAGAAATTATCCTAGTGTTTTTGTGATCTTTACTTTACATTTTTTCTCACTATCCTGAGGAAATAGCAATGGAAGTTTCTGTAAAAATATTTTTGTGTGTGTTTGCAAAGTCTGCCATCTTTTTTGAGATGTTGACGCATTATCTGATAGAAAGAAAATAAATTAAAAAATCACTTTAAAGAGCAACATGAAAAAGGCTGAGTAAGCTATATGCCACCTGAATGTTTTTTTTACTGCCTGTTAATTATAGATGGAATTAATAGAAATGACAGCTCAAGTTTTAATTCTAAACATGTCTTTCAAATATGTCACTTCATTTTCAGTGTCTTGCTCAGGTCTGAGTTGCATTGAACTCACTTAAAAACACTTATTAGAGTTTAGATTTTTAATTTGATAAGGAAGAAATAGCTGTATAGGCCTTGTGTACTCAAAGAGCAGAGAATTAGGATACTGTGCCAAGTAAGGCCAGGCTACTGAATGCATTTCATGAGTGCAGTGAAACAACAGCATTCAGTGCTGAAGCAGTTAACAGTATTGGCACTTAGGACTTTATAATTAGGCATTGAAAATAAAAGGGATGTTGCCAAGGCTAGTAGGCCTAAAATTAAACCAACCAGCTGTGTTTTAGTTTTAGCACATGTGAACGTGACGCAGGTGCCTGCTATACTGTCTTTCAACTCTTTCTCCACAGCCCACTATGCTTTCTATTGGAATCTTGCTCTTTTACTATTTCTGGAAGCAGAATTCTTGTTATTATGGAAAAAAAGAGGAGATAGTAGATAAACAGATGAAAAATGGCATGAGCCCAGGAAGGCACAGTAAGCGTCTCTGCATAGACATTATGGAGGGAGATGCAATGGAAAGCTGTTTCCTCTCTTCTGCTGAAGCTGCTTAGAAACCTAACGTTGTTTGTACCTGTTACCGAATTATTCATAAACAGAAAATGTATAAGCAGCTGCAGAACCAGGACTCCTTTCTTCTGCTCTCTGCTTAAATAGCTTTGGTGTCATTAGCACTGGCTTTCTTTTGTGTATTCTCATTCGCTCTTTCCCTCTTGCTCTTTGGACAAGTAGATCTTCCATTCCCTTGAGTGCAGGAGGCCAGCCTCACTGGAGGGATGGAATAGGTTTTCAGTAAAGGATTTAATTACAGCTGTGTGGGATGAAAATAATTGAGATCTCAGCCCCCCTTCATTGTTTTTGGGTTTTTTTAGTTATGTGTTTGTTTTGGTTTGGGGTTTTTTTGTTTTGGTTGTTTTTTTTTTTTTCCTGAGGACTTCTCATCTCCTTTTATGGGCTATTGTGCAACAGCTGTAGAGTATTAGCTATGCTTATGAATTAATTTAACTGCTGATGTTGTGGCAACTGAAAGTTTAGCTGCATTCCGAATCATACTATCTCAGAATCATAGTGGTACTTCAGTGTTTGTTTCTGTTTGACTTCCCTGAACACATGCACAAAAGCCAGCTACTGATTTCAGGTTTCTCTGGGATTAAATTAAACTTGAGTAATTCAGATTTGTCCTCTGAAATTTAGGAGGTTGAAGTCAACCAGCTTCCATCTCAGCTCACGTGTGTCACCTTAGCACACCTGACAATAGTAGTTACCAATCAGTTTTCTGCTACTGCAGCTGCTGTAAAGAGAAGGGAAATTGGGTCATGAAGCCTCAGGTGGGCTCCTTCCCAGGGGACCAAGTAAGCTGTTTTGAGAAGAGCTTCTTGACAGCTCCCAGGCTGGGACAGGATTCAGTGGAGCTGCAGGATCCTCAGCCAGGTTCTGGAAGAGCCTTGGGGAGGGCAGAGGGTTTTCTGAAGATTGCTGCTCTTCACGAAGATGTGGAGTGATGGAGGAGTAAGGACGCCTCTGCAGGGCCATCGGCTGTGGAGGGGAGTGGTTTCTAAACAAGTTTTATTTCTCTGATCTAGTTACTTGGAGAGTCTTCTATTTGAAAAGGTGAGTGTTCAGATTTTTATTCTAATCAAGTTTGGCCTTTTTTTGGTTTCTTAAAGTTTTAAAAAGCCTTTTGCTTTCTTAGAGAAGATTGCTCTAGAAGGAACTCTATGTGAATCCACTCATGGCATGGCTGATGTAGTGTTTGAAAACAAAAGGGAAAGGAGCTCATGCTTCATTTAAAGCAAAATAAAAAAAAGTTTTTGGTTGGTTTTTTTTCCATTAAAAATAAAAACTTCTCTGAGGTGAATGTAGCCATTACTCTAAAAGCCAGGGTTTGTAAATAAAACAAAAGTCTTAACCCTCTCACCTTAGAGAAATTGGGATCTAAGAGGTGCTGAAATTAAAGCAAGTTGTGCTTTTACTGTCTTTGGACAATAGAGAGTGGCTCTCTTCATGGTGGAGAGGCAGCTGTGTTTCTCTGCTTACATGTTAATTCTTTCCCTTCTGCTTGGCTTTGGCCTAACCAGTGTTACAGAAACTGAGAAAGCTGGAGTTCCAGCTGTTTGAACTTTCCAGAGCTTGTTACCTTCTTTGGTTATGTTCTTATTTCCAGTGTTCTTCACTGTTCTTATTTCCACTACTGTAAGGCCACTTTTTTATGCTATTACTTTTTGTGCACATGACCCTATTTACGTTGCTTGGGGCTATGTCAAAATCTAATCAAAAAGAATTCTACTAAGCAGGCAAAGTTTTTGAAAGTCTTAGTATTAATCCTCACTGAACTGTAATCTGCCGTTTGGGTAAACAGAAATAAAATAGTCCATTCTTCCCATTATGAATATGACAGGTTGTGTCCCAAACAGCCCTTACTCTCCTGTATTGTAGGAATGAGAGGCTTTTCTTTAAACTCTATGAGAGCACAGCTGAGGAAACTGTTCTGGTCATGTAGTGGTATAATTCACCAAGCTTGGCTTTGTTCTGAGTTGTCTTTCTTGCTTTGGGAAAAGTGATAGAACCTGAGCAGTCTCTGAAGCACACAGCAGCCAGAGCAAACGATGGTAACAGAATCACCTTTTTTCAGTAAGTTTGGGTAGGCTTTGAAGATGAATTCCTAATCAGCTGCAGGTGAAAGCATCCAGTGCTTGTGTGTGCTTTGTCTTTGGCTCTTAATATAGATCAGCTGTTTTGTGTCTGTTTCCCTGCCAGTATTGTGGGTAAGTATACATTTGCCAAGACTAAAAGCCTCTCACAACTGAGTCCCTGTCTTTGTCTCGTACATATCTGGTAGAATTTTCAATAGCATAAAACAAAGTTAGGAGTAGAAGTCCCACAGGTGTCCAAATTTTCAAGGGTTGCACTCTTACAAGGATGGCACGCTGCTGGCCTGTTGTAAACCTTACCTTACCACACCACACCTAGTGTGAGACATTTGTGGAGGTTTTCTGGAAAGAACTCTGCATTTTTAAAAGTAAGTATTTAAGACTTATGTTGAACTTACGATTTCCTCCTCAGAACTAGCCTCCAGCAGGTAAGTGTGTTGGTCTGGAAGTGGGGCCTGACAAAGAATAAAAATAGAGAATTATTTTAAGCCCACGGTCTTGTATGATGACAGCAAGGTTAAAGTCCTTCACAATCTCTCGTTCATTCCCCCTCCTAATAATAGCTGTATTGATCTAATAATTGTAACACTCACACCTGATAGAATTTCATTTTAGGTTTGCTTTTGGACAGTTGCATAATTACCAAGCAAATATTTTCAGACACAAATTGAATTCCTTTTTTCTTTTTGTTTTCTTTGGGTCTGGTTTTTTTTTTTTATTTCTTCTCCATCTTACCTATTAACTTGACAAATACTGTAGCTGACAGAGCTGGAAAACATTCCAGAGCATTTTGTCATGCTGCTAGTTTTCTTGTGGTCTCTTACAGCTCATCTTTGCTTCTTTGCTTTCAGTACCACACAAAAAAATTGAAGTATGAAATTTTCATATGAAGAAATGCATGACATTATCCAGGGGACCATGGCCAACCATCAAACTTAATATATGGCACTTTCAAATCATACATTAAAAAAAAAACCCAACCAATAACCTGCACAGCATTCTGAAACTGCATGCTGTTTTATGCCATTTCCAGTTTCAATTTCTTGGATGTCTATTTTATCACAGACTGTATTTGGGTTTTGGGATTTGTTATTTAATCATGAGTAACAGCAAGCTAAACAAATACATTGTTGACTGTAGAAATTAAATCAGGGAGATTTCAGTTCCCGGAAACTCCTTAGTCCTTCAGTGTGATATTGATGAAAGCAGTTGCTGCAGTTTGGTTTTGTGTGTGTTGCAACATGTGCTATTGTGGTTACTATTGGTATCAGAAAGAAATTGTTTAAGCAACTTCAGAAACCCAAGAAAATGCAGATGCAGAATAACTGCCAGAACTGAGAATCAGTCACTGTGCTGGAAAAAAAGTGCCACTATTGCATAAATTAATTTCTAATTATTAGGTCTTGGTTTTCCATTAGGTCTTGGTCTTCCATTGAGGTAGCCTGTGTACAAAAGCACATGAAAATAATGTAGATATTTTTATGAAAAGAACAGTAATGAAATTGAAGTTCATATTTTCATGTTTTTCTGTTTGTATAAACATTATTGTGAACGTAGTGCAAGGGAAGTTTTAAGGGGGAAAAATACAGAAATTTTAGCACACTGCTTTTTGGCCTGCTAGTTTTAACTAAATTTTTGAATTTGCGTTCTTTTTTTTTTTCCTCATATATTATTTCTGTGATGCAAGCAGAATATTTGGGTTTTTAAATAGTATCAATGTTTGTACTTATTGTGAGCATCCTGAATACCTGAATATCTTGACTAAAAACTCTGCACAAGTTTAGAATAAAAACCTCTTTCAACAGTAATAATATAAAGAAACAATTGATATTCCAAGGAGACAGGAAAAAAACAGGAATAGTCTCAATTCATTACTCTTACAATGAGATCTCTGTAGCAGTTTCAGCAGATTAGAGACCTGGCCTTTATAGTGTTTTGCAATACTTTCAGCAAATGATTGCCTTGCAGCAGTGTTTATGAATAATTACAAGGTAATTATATTGTAATATGAAAAATTAGAAAGGCTTTAATGAAAAATGAAGTAGCAAATGTTTTTAGATTGGAATAAACCCCCTTAATTCAGCCATTTAAGCGTTTGTGTATCTTTAAATTGCAGAATATATGGAAACAGGAAATGCAAGTATTTCAGAGGAACGTCCACTGGAATGCGCAGAACGTCAGTCTTGCATTTTGTCCCCAGAAGTTCCTCCATCTCCAAAGGCTAAAAGTAAATACATGTACTCTGTGAATGCAAAAGCTGTACCGCACTTCTCTTTAGTATTAAAATTATATTACTAAAACATTGATACAGACATGCAAAATGAAAAAATAAGGAAGTTACTGATATCAAGGAGCTTTTTTCTAGCATCAGTTAGCTATCTTGACTACATACACTGTAATCCATGTCATATAGAAGAGCAAGGAATTGTATCCTCAGAAAGGACAAGTCACTGATGAATGTGTTGCATTATTTGATCTTAAATCTTTTTAATTTATCTGACGTTACACATTTCATACTCAAGTAAAACAAAAATGCTAAATATATCAGAAGTACTCTGCAGGCATTGTTCACATTTGGGTTAAAAATGGAATTTACTTCATCTTTCCCAGTGAGTACATCTTCCAATGGTGTTACATTTGGAAGCCTCTTTCAAAGATCACGTGTACTGTTCTTCCATTCATCTTCTCACACAGCTTTTGTACACTGTGGTGATCACTGTTGTCTGCACGTGCTTTCGTTTTATGTTCTGATTCACCATTTACACTCGCATCCACTAAAATAGGGCATTTTCTGAGTGTACTGTCATCCTGCTCTTTCATGAAAATCATCCTCTTGTAGAACCAAACCTGACTTCTGTCCTCAGTGATCATCCAGAGTGAATGTAATTGACTGCTGGCAAATAACTAAACCTCTCTTTGTTTTTGTTGTGTGAGTTGTGGTGATGTTTTGTTGTTCTTCTTCTAGGTTCTTATTTTTTTTAAACATGTTTGCAGGGAGAGTTTTCCTTCATGAGAAAGCTAAACTTCCTGCTGTGTGTCACATTGTGATCTTCATGATTCTTCATTCATGAGAAAACTAAGCTTCCTGCTGCATGTCAGATTATGGTCTTCATGGTGATAGTGAACAAATACTATAGTTCCAGCCATATTTCCCATTGGGGTACTTAACAGATATGTGGTATATGAAGATAAATAGTTGCTTTGAGATTAGTTCAACTGCCATATGCAATAGGAGTGTTTGTCCTGAAATAAAGTAGTAAATATTTTTAAAATATGTTTTACTTCTTAATGATAAGGTCATGATCTCACATTCTTTATATCCACTTTCGAATTATAAATAATGTAAAACGTGCTAGCTGGGTTTTGCTTGTCTATTGTGTAATCTGATACTAAAGGAAAGAAATTGTACTTGATTGTGTTTCCCATCCATCTGCCTGCCATTCTCTTACAATCTAATTTCAAATAATTTAAACCAAATTTGGAAGAGGAATGGCAGTATCAATTACTTTCTGTGACTTTCATGAAAGTAAGTAGCTAGATAGAGGAGAGAGACCTTAATAAGTACCTACACTGAAAGAAATAGGCAAAATGTGTCTATTATGTATTCATTCTGGCAGCAATCAGCCAGTCAGTTAGTGCACTCTCACTCACAGGTCAGTCCAGTTTTGTCACACAGAATTCATTCTTGCCCAGTAAGAAGTACTGCAGGCCATATGTAGGAAAACATGGGATTGGGAACATGAACATAATTCTGTAGGAAGCAGTAGTTCTGTTTCTGTATAGGGCACTGTATCATGATTTTAGAGTAGATTTTAATATTTAGGTATTTTACTTCCAATTTTTAGTTATTATAATATTGATCTGGATTAATTTCAATTTTCTAATTAAAAAGCAGACTATAAATAAATTTGATTATATTTTTGCTGAATTTACTTGTTTTTTGCGAAGCTACCATTGAATAAGAGTAATGAGTTTTGAATGCAAAATTTCTGTTAATTAGATATTAAAAGGCAATTAAATGCTTTTAATTAACAACTGTTCTTGGCTCAGAAAATTTCGGTTATAACTGGCCATTGGTATAATTTTAAAAATATTTTTTGAGTATTTTTGTTAACTAAGCATAGCGAACAGTAAATATGAAGAAAAACAAACAAAAAAAAAGCTCTAGACCAACCAGATACAGTCTCATCAGGGGATTCTTTAGTTATGTGGATATATTTGTCTGTTTTATGTATACTGAGCTTAATATGCTCACTCTCTTTTTTCTTTTCAGCATTTTATTTCCAAAGATGGAGTAACATGGAACTGTCTGTATTTTATCAAGTCTAACTGCTGTAGTTTCCAACAGTATAACATTATAACTGTTGGAAACTGAGTCAAGAGAAGGGGTTTCCTATTTGCTCCTGGAAAAACTTGGTTTTCACTTGTATTTTCATTGCTTTTACTAAAGGTAGCTGTGTAACACACATGCAGTAGATAATCAGAACATAATGCAGTTCATAATGAGTAGCTTTTTAGTCTGTGGAGGTCTTGCTGCTGACAGTGGACTATTTGCAGAATAGTTAGCACTCAGTGTGAGTCTAATACTTACTACTACTACTACTGTTTCTAATAGTGGCCCTCAGTTAGTGTAGACATATAAAGCCCATTGCCTTACTATTCTTTTAGATTTCCTAACTAAAGATATTGGATAAAAAAAGGAGAAACCGTGAAACACAATGCAGAATGCACTAAACATAGGTTTCTGGTAGGCTGCTGCAGGGGGCATGTTACAAACGTGTGGGTTTGTCCAGTATATCCTTCCAAGATTCCATTTAATCCTAGGAAAGTGAGCAAGAATTGTTTATTCTTGCTTATTATTTATTAGCTACTTGGATGGGACTGATGTGCATTCTTAGAAACTGAGTTCCAACCTAGTCACAGTTTATGGAACCTATGTAGTGTATTGATTGATTACAGCAGCAGAGGTGAACCTGATGCAGAATATGGGACGTTGGTTTTCTGTGTTTGTAGAAACTTTGGATTCCTGGATTAATTTTACATTCTTGGATAGTTGCTATTTCTAGACAATTTTCAGGATTAGAAAACAGAGAAAGGGTAAGTATATATTGTAGTTCATTCTAATTAAATGCAAGGTATAGGGCAATGCAGAAGTATGTAGATTGCCTCTAGCAAATTCCAACTCTGGAGTGAGATGCCATTATTTTTGAGAGAAGAATTGTGCATGAAGATTATTGTCTAGAAGATAAGGCATGGAAATAACAGATAATAAATTTAAGGAATGTGTATTTCCGTTTTAGACATTAATTGCACCTGGTATTCTAATTACTGACTAATGGTGTGTCTGTTTTTAAAGGTGAAGCTGTGACTGGAGAATTATCAAAGCTCTTAGATGAAATCAAATTGTGCCAAGAAAAGGAATACTCTTTTGAAGATCTGTCTCATACAATATCAGACCATTATCTGGATAATTTTAGTAAAGTATCAGAGGAAGAACTTATGACCAGTGGAAACCAAACCAAGCTTAATGTAGTAAGTAAGATTGGATACAAAGACAATATATTCAGTTACATCTGCTTTATTTATGATGCAGTCAAGAAAAAAATAGTGCAAGAGTGAGAATAGTACAAGGTTAACATTATAATAGAAAAAATAATATAGAATGTGCTTCTTACAGATTTAGACTGTAATGTTCCCCTTATTTTACAAAGATATTGCTTACCACACCTCAGAATATGTTTTTATGACACCACTAATATGACTAATCATTTGGGTTACTTGTTTCGAGCATGGGGAGGACATGGAAGGGTGTTTTTTGAAAAATAAATGGAAATCAGTATGCTCAATACTGTATTGAATACTAAATGTTTGCAGAATCTGATCAGATGTGCCCCCAAAAGAAGCAGCTTAGCATCTTCAGTTGTTATTCTTATATATTTTGTTACTATATAGGTTTCTCAGTAGTCTAATGATATTGAAGACTGAGTCTCTAATACTGAAAATTGTTGTGGTTGTGATACTTCAGTGATTTTCAAATACAATGAATAAAGTGCTCTGGCATGCATTTTTTTCTTACTGTAATAAGCCTTTTTTTTTTTTAATTGAATTCTCTTCCTCAATAAGAAAATGGGATTGCCCAGGAAATAAAGGAAAGAACAGAGGAAGAATGCTAAACATTAAATTTCAATTAGTGTTGTTTGTAAATTAAGAAAAATTATGCTCTCCTATGTGAGGAAAACCATGGCAAGTTAGGGACTTCATGTTCTGGAGCATTTATTACAGTATATGTAGAAAAAATGAGATGTACAGAGGTGGTTAGCTGCCCTGAGAGGCAGTAGATACTTTTGTAAAGCCCTTCTAGATGTTTGAATGTTTAGATATATAACTCATATTAAACTCAGTTTGAACAAGGTACTAATCCTATTTAAACATTTTAGACACTCTTATAGTGTCTCTCTGAATTTAGGTGCTAGCTGCTATTTAAATCTGCTCAGCTGCTGTTTTGCAGAAAATGTATTCCATATAAATCTGTCTACTCTGACTGAAATTTTTACAGACCTAAATGAAATACAATGTGAATAGAAAGTATTCAGACACTAAATCTGTAATTTATATGCAGCAGGGATATACAAAGGTAAATTAGACAATACATTTTTTTGAGATTTCATCTATTTTATGTTGAACTAGATGTGAAAACAAATCTTCAAAATTGGGGACTGTTTAAAGCATTTTATGGGCTCTCCTCCTAATGCATCCAGCTTTTCTTTCTAAGAAAACTGTAATCAGGATGATGGGTGCATACTCCCAACATGAAGTCAGGATGAAGGGCAGAACATATTTTCCCTTACAGTAAACCCAATTATACAGGCCTATATGGAGAGGACTCTTTGTTGTCATGTGGGATTTTCCTGTTTGTTCTAAAGCACCCACTTAATTTTTAAGTGTATTTTGGGTGACTCAGTCTGTTCAGTTGCCTGTTGGCTGCCTTGCATCAAAAAATGGAAGACACAATGTCTTTTAATTTTGGGGAAGTGCTGCCTTCCCTTGATGTTTAGGCTCCCTGTGTAGTGCAGGGGTAATACAAAAACCTACATGCACTTTAAGGAACCATGAAAGAGTAGTTGGGAAGAAACACTAAGAGATATGTTTAGCTCTAAAAATGGTTGCAAAGGTGAATGCTGCCAAACTACTCAGCGGGCGGGACCAGCAAGCATGGTCGTGGAAGACATGTGACTGTATGGTGATAATACATAAATATTCATTTAGGTTTCTTCAATAAGAACATGAAGATATGAAGAGAAAGAAGTGGAGATGTATATAGATGTGGGGAGTCAGAAATAGATTTCTTGGATATGTATTAAAGAAGAGAAAGATTCTTGCAGCTTATTCTGACTTTAGTTTTCTCCTCCATGGGAATCTTCTGTAAAAATCTCAGTAGGTAAAGTGGGTTTTTCTCTGATGTCTGCATTTGTCCAGCTTGCATTTGTTTCTGCTGCACATGCCAAGACCCTATGGGAGGGGCCTCACAGGAGTGTGGTAATGCTGGAGCACAGACTCTTTTTGCCTGCAGGACCAATTGTTGCCTTTCTCTGTTACCAGCTCCAACACAGGGCTGAGAACTGCACCTGGTGTGCCTCCATGAGCGAGCAGTTACTTCAGGTTCAAATCAGCAGTTTTTCCCCAACTTTCATTGCTGGCTGTGCCAGCATCTGCTCTGAAGAGGTGTAGAAATCAAGTCCCTGCTGATAATGTGTTAATAATGCCATGTCCTGAACATGTTGGTTCCAGAGATGATGACTGGTGCAGGCTTTTCACCTTCTTGTAGTCCAGTGGTCTGAAGAGGTTCCAAACCCCAAGCCATAGCACTTCATGACCTCAGGGAGATTCTGCAAAGGAACTGGCTACTAGGAGACATATGTACTTTTTGCATCGTGCTATTGTTCAGAGAAGTAGGAAGCCAAGACTGTGGAATTTTTGATCAGAATAGAAACTTGGGGAGTTGGAGCAATGAGCATCAGGAGCCAGCTCCTGAGCATAGCATGGGCTTGGGAAAGAGAAGGCAACAGGAAGCAGAGTGTATTTTAAAGCATTTTTTTATAGCAATTGGCTCTTTTGAAAGGGTCAAAACCACCTGTGGTACTGCTCTGGCTAAATAAGATTTATGTCGGTTTAGGACTGCAGAAAGTAGTGTCTGTCTATCCACGATCCATAGCCTGGAATTCTCTCCTGAATCTCAAGTGCCAAACTCTTTTGTTTGAAAGAGCAGGGCTCACTGTTTTTGTTTAGTGTAAGGGTAGGGGGGATGCCTGCTTTTTAATGCAATAACTTGACAGTAAGAGGCTTCATCTGGAAGAGTAGCATTCAGTTCTTTCCATGGCATAAGAGTGAGCTTTAACATTGGTTTTATAGTCTCCCAAATAAAGTACTGATTATCAGGCTATGATCCCATCTAGTATTCTTTCTGAACTGTATAACCACTGGAAAAGTACCAGTGCAATCCAGAGAGCAGGACTTTGGATGCCTTATACATAGGCAAAGTCTTTACCTTTTCTGGTCTCAGGTGTCTTGCATTGTTTGTTGCTCAGTGATACGGCACTTGTAGAATACTACCTTTTGTTTTGAGGAAGCTGTGGTTGGAAGTTTTTAGGTCAAGGACAGAATTGAATCCATTCTTCTGTTTGCTGTGTTATCAGAAAATTAGTTATCCAACCACACAGCAAGTTGTTCTGGAATGATTGGAATAAGGGACTACTTTTCATCAAATTTGCATCGAAAACATTACGTGTTTTTATTACTTTATATGTTTCTATTGACCAGGTGTCTGATGTGTGACATAAGGCATTAAAACCTTAGAGATTTATGTGCTCACAGTATTTTAAAGTCAAATAGGAAGCAGAGTTTACACAGCTCTGAGGTTAGGTGAAAAATTAAAAAAGTTAAAACAACTTTGGGTTTAGCCTCCTGAGTTCCACATTACTAGTCAGATCTGACTCCTAAGTTTCCTTAGGACATGGAAGAGCTGAATAGGAAAAGTGAAAGTCAGGATCTTACGAACTGGGAGAAGGAGATTACAGTGGAGCGGTAAGTAGAAGTAAGGAGAGTAACAGGAGACACCACAGTGAAGACATGAATAGAAACAGATCTGGAGATTAAAAAAAGTACCCACAGGACACTTCCATTCCAAAAATTGAAGGAAAACTGTGAAAACATTTGGGTTATGGAAAAGAAGATTGTGTTAACTTCCTGAATGGGGAGAATGTTTAATGGAGAGGGAAAACTGTGAATGCTTGTTTGCTGAATAGCACAAAGGTAGATGAGAGTAAGTTAATGTTATCTTTTATTTGAAGAGTACGTTATAAAGAATAAACTAAAGGAAGTCAAGTTAAAGCTGCACTGGAAAATTATAATTTTGGTATTTTCTTTCTCAACTCTGGCTGTGTTTAAATGTACTTCTGATGTGCTGTCATGGAAAATATGAATTCCATGTTTACTAGTACATACCAGGCAACAACTCCCTGTTCATTGTCTCCATGAAATTAAAGGTCAGATTGGACATAGTTTTGTGATTCTGCTTCAGAGAGCTCAAAAAGACTTACGTACACCTAGGCATCATTTTAGTTGGAATTCCTAGTTTTTCTCAAAGATGTGCAGGCTGGGTGGGTTTTGACGGTGGCTTTACAGATTTTTACTCCCAATTCCTGTCTCTGTTTTTTCCTATTTCGGTCATTGTGACTTGAATACACTCTTTAGTACCCCTATGAATGCAAAGACATGGAAAGCCCTGACAGTTGCTGCACAGGCAAACTGGGAAAGCTTTATACTTTTGTATTGCTCAGTACTGACATACTACAGTTGTATGTTTGCTAAATACAAATCTTCCAGAAAAAAATAGAATTTAATTTGTTCAGCAAGTCAGAAAAGGAGCTGTGCTTCAAAACACATTCCAGAAAACATGAGTGGGAAAAAGATACAGGAAAATCCTTGGTTTTATCAGTTCAGTTAACTAAGGTGTTTCCTTTTCAAGCTGAGTTAAGTATGATTGCTAGCAAAATCAGTTTTGACAATAAATTATAGCAGTTTTAGTTTTTTAAAAAAAGTTTAATTAAAAAAAATATTTATTTTCCAATAGATGGCAGTCTGGTTCAGTCGTTTCAAGAACAAAAGCAGCCATCTTATATAAGGGTTTTCCAACTTTTTTTCATTGCTGTGTAAAAATCATGTGTTTTAACACGGTTAATAGTACAAACCGCTTCAAAATGAACACCTGTAATTTCTCTAGGAGAAAAAATTGTAGAACATCATGACATCCATTTAAACTACAAACTAAAACATCAGAGCTAAATTTAGAGGTGTATCATAGCAAAGAGGTTACACGTCAAGTGTGTATTCAAACAATCTCTGTGAATTGAACAGCAAGCAAGAAAATTTAAATAGGTATAACTTGCAAAGCAGGGATCCAGAAAAATTAAGTGTGTCAGAAAAAAGAACAGAAGAATGTCGAAGTGTATATTATGAGAATTCTGAGCTCTGGCAAGT